GCTGGATTGTACATACTTGTTCTGTTACAATAAAGAGCTGTTGTTGCCTTTAGCCTGATTGTGCCTTTCCATTACCCGATCTAACAGTCTTTATGGCAACTTTTACCACAGGAGTGGAGAACTACGGCCCTTTAACGATCTGTGAACTTCAAGTCCCAGAATTCCTAAGGCTGCCTGGCTGGCTCAGGAATTCTGGGAGTTGAAGTTCACAGATCATAAAAGGGCCGTACTTCTCCATTCCTGCTTTACATGAGTGCTTTCACCTTTTGATGAAATCAACAACATTGTACATATACTGTACATTCATTGTTGATCATTCTGCTATTGTGTATTGATCGTTCTACTATTCATGAAAATAGCCACACCTCTTTCATGGCACATTCGCTAAAGATGACATGTCAACCTCCCAACAAATTTCCTACCATGCAACTGAGAATATAGCCTGCTGTTGAAATGAGACTCTTGTGTTGGAAGGAATGTCCATCTGGGTTCAGTTCCAGGTGGGAAGAAAGACACTGGAAACATGGAGATTGTTTGGAAAGATGGTTTGTAATGATGGACAGGACCACATGGTTTGAGGTCCTGGGGGAAAAGGCACATGGAGTGGAGAGAGGAATATACTTATACACTCTCTTGGGCCCCGCCTTAAGAGTTTCCTGTTCCTGTACAAGAAATGTATCCCATTAGCTGTCAGACTCCCAGAGGGGCGGAGGTCTTAGCTAACAATGTGGGCTGTCTGTGTCCCAGGCTTGGCTGAGCCTTGCTGGGTGATGCAATCTGCCCAGGTGCCATATATTGAGTTCTGTTGCGAGATGGGTAGAGTGCTAATCCTATCATGTCTTGAGAGGCCATGCCTTAATCCCATCACCCTGGAGCTGGAGTGGGGGGGGGTCGGTTTGGGAGCTGCAGAAAGCAGCTTTGTCTTTAAAACATGTTTCTTTTTTCTCATCCAGGGAAACATAATATTCTGCTTTTTTCATATTTCCTAAAACATTTCATTCCTCTAGGAAGGGAGTGGGTGCTAACCTCCTATACTTGTGTCTAGCCAATATTTTGTAGGAAGAGAGAAGTTCAAAGTTGGTGGGGTTTATAAGGTATGGGATTTATTCTACCAGTGGTTAGCTAAAAAAACATGGAAATGAAAAACATTGGAGATTTTTTTTGAATTTTTTTTTTATTGTTTCAGTTAAACAAAATCATCTTTCGTGACATCTTGTAGAAAGCATATCGATTGGTTACAGATATATTCCGTGCGTTTCTTCCACAATCCTTACATATACTTCATTCAAATCGACTTGTACATTTTAAGTCAAGAAAGAAAAGTTATGTATTTTACTATCCCTGTACCACAATTCTCATTTTAGATTTAGATTTAGATTTATTAACATTTGTATGCCGCCCACTCCCTTGGGACTCTTTAATTACCATTATTTAAACATGTTTTTATCTAGAATCATTTATATTTAAAGACACAACCACCTACTGGCATTCATTTGCAGTTTCAATAGATCNGACATCTTCAAGTTGCCAAGGTTGAGAAACACTGGTTTAGAGTGTTACTTCCTAGTCATAAAGAAGATTTTTATCCAACGGAGCCCATCTAAGTAGTTTCTGCTGAGACAGGCAATGGTTTGATTTGCTTGCAGACTTCAGCAGAACAAAAAAATGGATTAAATATTGAGTCAAGTTAATATTAACCAACTAATCCACCTCCCACGCATTCTTCATTCTTCTTATTAACTGTGAACAGGGCATTCTAATATAAAATAAAGTAATCTAATAAAGCCACTGAATAAATAAATAATCTAATTTAAACTAATTGAGGGTTAAACTCATCTAGTTTAACTCTCAAAGAACATCTTTTTTTTCCAGATTTTTTCAGAGGTTTTAAGAGGGTTTGTTTTAAGTAGCTTCTCTTGATTTGGTTCCTGCACCATGCTAAGACATAGTTCACTTATATTGTTAAGGAAACCACAACTATGCAAAGTCCAAGCCAAGGAAACCACATTATCACTTAACATAATCTGTAATTTCATGGGTATTTGCCGGATTTACATGTTAAATTTAATCATAAGGTTTGTATATTAATATGTGAGAATCCAGCCAAAAGTATTCTATAATCATGATTTAGTATAGAATTAATAAAGCTGACATGATTAATCAACTGACTAAAATAGACTAAGACTGAAAAACATTGTTGAACGGCACAATTTCTGAACCCAGTAGTGTATTATTAAACTTTAGATCTCCTTTTAGTAGGGAGGAAGTGACAACAAAAAATATAAAATAAAGCATGAAACTCATTTTTCTGAAATATTATATGGTGATATAATAACCATTACCATCATTTTATCCATATGGAAACTCTGCAAGAGAATAGAATAGAATAGAATAGAATAGAATAGAATAGAATAGAATAACAGATTTGGAAGGAACCTTGGAGGTGTTCTGCTTAGGCAGGAAACCCTACACCACTTCAGACAAATGGTTGTCCAACATCTTCTTAAAAACTTCCAGTGTTGGAGCATTCACAAATTCTGGAAGCAATTGTTTCACTGATTAGTTGTTCTGTCAGGAAATTTCTCCTCAGTTCTAAGTTGCTTCTCTCCTTGATTAGTTTCCACTTCTTGTTCTACCCTCGGGTGCTTTGGAGAATAGTTTGACTCCCTCTTCTTTGTGGCAACCACTGAGATATCGAAACACTATTATCATGTCACCCCTAGTCCTTCTTTTCATAAGATTAGACATACCCGTTTCCTGCAACCATTCTTTATATGTTTTATCCTCGAGTCCCCTAATCATCTTTGTTGATCTTCTCTGAATAGGCTAGACTTCGAATTAGCTAATTTTAATTCTAAGACCTAGAATCAGCTAACTTTAATTCTAAGGCTAAGCTAGTAGCTTCCGTGCCTGAGTATTAATTGAACCCAGAACCTTTCCATAAATATTCCCAAGATTAAAACAATTTGGATTGTAGACTCAAATGACTGTGAAAAAACACAGTGTTAATAGTGCACTCCTGATGTGTAAAAAGAGATTTCGATTGACACAGGAACATTGATCCCATAAAAATTGTTATGAGGAGTTATATTAGGTCACACATTTCAAGTGCTTTGTTGGCAGGAATGAAATTGTTCCCCAAAGTGGCATCCTTAAGAAATATTTGGACTAGACTTCTGTCCCCAAATTAGTAATTGTTGATCCATCATGCCATTAGAATAGAGTATTTCAAAACTACTAGGTATTGTCTAACTTATTTTTGTATAAATAAAAGCATGAAAGAAGAATATTTGTTTGGAATGGTTCTCTGAATGAACAACACTCTTAAATATTTGCAGAAGAGATTATCTTGATCTACAAAACAAGGATGGCATTCAGGAAGGACTTCGGAAGCCTATGGATGAGATAAGAGGATTAAAGTCAGGAATGTTTCAATAGAAGAGAATATACATAGTTTGGAGTTGAAGTGTAGAGTCCTTGATGCTCTCTGAGCATGAAGATGTTATTTATTTGGAATAGAATAGAATAACAGAGTTGGAAGGGACCTTGGAGGTCTTCTAATGCAACCCACCCACCCCCCACTCAACCCTATATCATTTCAGACAATGGTTTTCCAATATCTTCTTAAAAACTTCCAGTGTTTGAGCAGTCACAACTTTTGGAGGCAAGCTGTTCCACTGATTAATTGTTCTAACTTTCAGGAAATTTCTCCTTAGTTCTAAGTTGCTTCTCTCCTTGATTAGTTTCCATCCATTTGGATAATAAAACATCTGCAAGGAACCAACCAAGCTGAGGGAGCATGAAGGACTCCACTAAGGAATAGGTTTTTTTTAATTACTGTAATTAAAATATTCAGTAAAAGTGATATAGAGATATATAGATATAGATAAAAAGGAATGTTCCAATTGTCTCCTAGGTCTTGCTGCTCCTACTGCTGTTTTTCTCCCCATTCGGGCCACTCAAAGGCTGCAATTTTACTTATTCACCCATCTCTACTTATAACTTTTCCCAGGATATAAAACCACTGGTGAGTATGAACATGTTGCATAGTTCATCAGGCTGCCAGCCCTATTTGGTAGAACAGAGCAGGAAATCACCCCCATTGAAGATTAAATCTATCTTTATTGACATTTATTTGTTTAACAAACTTATACGGCTGCCCAGTTCAGGAAAAAAAAAGATTCTCAGTGGTGTAGAACAATGAATTAAAATAAATGTGTAAAACAATTATCAAAATATAGAAAATAATTACAAAATCACGCAAGCCTAATTGTGTTGCATTTCCCCCAAACATCCAATACCCCTGAGAATCAGGGAGGTGCCTTCCTGAGTCGCTTCTGAATATTACCTTGTTTCTCAGACCTTAAAAATATTTCAAACTGTTTTGCCTAGAATAGATAGTGGTTCTTATTTATCCCTATCGAAGTCATCTCCTTTACTCTGCACATCTTTTTATTCTTGTTTTTACTTCTATCAATGCAAATGCTGGTGATAGTGATAAAAAATAATACGGTCAATCAAAAAAAACATGTTTGTAGAAATGATGCACTGTGTCTTGTTTTGTGAGGAGTTTTTATGGGAAAGAACTGAAACCCTGAATAATTAAAATATAATCACCGTTCTGGTCACATGTCCAGGAAAATGTCTTGGGACAAAGCTGGCTCCCTCAGCTAGGAAACGGAGATGAGCAGCACCCCCTAGAGTCAGACAGGAAAACATTTACAGTACATTTTTACCTTTATAATCATGTTCTCATCTTGGGCCTCTGCAAAACAACTGCAACTCTTCCTTCCCTTTTGAGTCCCCAAAGTAGAAAGATAAGGGGCAAATCAGAAAGTGACAAAGAAAACTGAAATGTGTAAAAGAGAAAAGCAGTTGTAAATTCCAAAAGTTGTTAAAAGTTTAGGATGAACATTTGTTAAGGCAGACTTAAATTTAAAGCATTTGTTATGGCACCACACAAAATTGAGCTACATCATTGTACCCTGACATGGCACTCTCCAAATCCTGTTGGACTACACATTCCATCATTCCCAGCCAGGAAGGCAATTACTTGTGATCTAGGAATTAAGGGTGCTTTATTTCCACTCTTCAGCCTACCCATGGAACTGAAATACAAGGAACATCTAATTTAATGGCACTTTATAAGTAGTTCTTATGACTGATTGCTTAGCAACTGGTTAAACTTAAAGCAGACTTCCTTGAGGGTACTTATGACTTAGTTCCAAACAGTTGGGCCTCACTCCTGTGATCACATGACCGCGTGTTACTCAATAACTGGTGCTTGACTTACAACGTGAGTGACCGTCCAAAGTTACAACATCATTGAGAAAAGTGATTTATGACCATGGGATTAAAATTCTGACTGTTGGCAACTGACTCATATTTATGACCTTAATAGTGTCCTGGAGTCATGTGACCTTTTACGACCTTCTGACAAGCAGAGTCAATGAGGAAGCCAGATTCACTCAACAACCATGCTACTAATTTAACAACTGCTGTGGTTCACTTAACAACTCTGGCAGGAAATATTGTAAAATGGAGCAAAACAGCATCTCACTTAGCAACATAAATTTTGAGCCCTATTGTGGTCGTAAGCCGAAGACTATCTGTATTTACAGCTATTAGCATTCTATTCTCATGTGAATGCTCATGTTTTTATGATGGTTTTGCCAATAGCTAGCATTTACTCCTGGTTTTTGGCAAAATCAGCCTACTGGTTTACTTAACGATTTTCTTAGAATGGTGACAGTCACTTTAACAACCACAACATTTGCTTAATGACCATGGCAGTTGTTTAAACACCAGCACTCAAAAGGTCATAACATTGGGTTTCTCACATGGATGATCTGATTTACGATCATCACAACCATAATGGAGTGTTGAAAGTAAAAGATTATCTGCAATCTTGTCTTTCTCTTTCTCTCTCCTCAGAAAGAATATTTGCTCCTGGACTACAAAGTATTGATGCCGTTAAATCTGAAACAGGTACACTCTTTGTTAGATACTAGCAATTGTTATAATGGTTTCCACCAAGGTCCTCTGTTCCGGTGGGAACAGAAGTTTAATCTCATTGGTCGAAGGGTCTGATAAGTCCCTATAAAAGGGCTGCTGTCAGACTGAACCTTCGCTGGATTGTACATACTTGTTCTGTACCAATAAAAGCTGTTGTTGCCTTTAGCCTGAGTGTGCCTTTCCTTTACCCGATCTAACACTGGTGACAAGAGTGAGATTGGAAGGCAACTAGGCGAACCAAAAAGAGCGTAGCAATCCAGCAAGTAAATCCAGCCCGAAGCTCAGTGCAGCTTCGAGCAGCCATTTTTGAGCGGCAAACTCAAAATGCCCTCAGAACACAAAACGGCCTTGCATGCCCCACCGACTTCATATGACCCAGTCACTGA